TGTTCTTGAAATATGCCTGATGTTTCTTGACTCTCAAGATTAGTGGGCGGGGACCTTTCACCTACGTTCGAGTGGGTACATTCGGATTGAATGTGGTAGACAACGTTTGACGGATCTTCTTTGTTGCTTGTAGCTGGTTTACCAGTGTTTGGTTTACACCCATATTGTCTGTAGATGTCTTCAGCGAGGAAGTCCATTTTACAAATTGCTTTTGGAGTTGACATGGTATTAATATGTATCTCTAACTTTCAGGGATGGCTATGGCTATTTCTATATAATTAAAATGAAAACATAGGTGGATTCGTCAGGTAGTACGGGATTACAAATGGAAAACTGCGTATCGAGTATTGAGCGGTCCATGACATGAAAACCCCAAACCATTGACATTATGGGACGTTCAGTCTGGTCCCTGACGGATATATGACCCTCACGATAGTCTTCTTCAGGGAGAACAGATCTATTATCATTAGAGTAAGAAGCGTGTATCTACGTGATGTGTACGATTTGCTGCTGCATCATGTCTCCGTCAGAGACTCGTGTTATCCGTCCACCATCGTCCATCCATGACCCTGGATCTGAGCTGTTGGGCGGTTACTCTGGCATCATGTCTCTGTCTTACCACATACTCCTGTTTCTGTAAACCATCATCCATCGAATTTTATGGTTCCCCTCCCCTAAAAACACCCATCAAAACAATTGAACTCATCAAGTTCATCCATCAGATTATCCATGAAGGTCCGGGTTAGAATGAACCTTCATTAACCCATGCTTGTCGTAAGAGGCGACTAACGGGATCGGGTGGTCAGACTCGCTGGCTTGGTTGACACATGTCATCGGTTCCAAATTGCGCAGATCGATGCTCATGCTGTTGATTACTGGATTGTCTGGTCCAGACTCAATTATTTCCAGCCCGCCGCCATATAGCTGGATTATTGCCATCAGATCGACCGGTACACGTGATGTATCATCTAACCTGGCAAGAAGTGGCATGGATTCGGGCTTCTTTGACAAAGTCATTAGTGTTCTCTTTGTACATTGATCGTATCTAATTGGCTTCGTGATTACATTATTATCTTTGTACCTTATCCTACCTTGTGTTGTGTAAACATGTTGTATCTATGTAATCATTATCAATGCAATCATGTATGTAATCGTGCATTGTATATGTATATGCAGATGGAAAAATATTATCGCAACACCCAGGTTTCATGACAGGACCTATATTTAATCACATTTTATTTGTCATGTGCGTCTCACAGGAAATTCATTTGTAGCCACAGTGCTAAACATACTTTTCATTAACACAAAAGCCATTAATAAAATAAAGAATCTGAGTGGTATAGTGAGTGAGTATGGCTTTACGCCAGCAATAACACGGAGGGGGACACCGGAAATGGACTTCACACATTGTACCCATGTGGGGAATCGACTCAGTGGCAGAATTTGATTAAACATGGGTGCTGTAGTAAAACCGAAATTAAGATAACATACTGTGTCAATAAAAGTATGGTCATCCCAAATGAGTAACACAATGCATAGTCCTAATTCATACACCAAATCAACAAAAAGGTCTCTACTTTCAGAAACAGAAGACACAGACAGTATCTTGTGTAACCTCCGCCCACATGGACGACGTTTTGAACCCTCGTCCTCATTGAGTGCACAAAACACTAAATCCGGTGTTGTGGCAACCTGTTCCATTCAAGTAGCAGCAGACAATTATGTGCCAGTTGCTATTCAATTACATGTTGTTGTTAATGTTAATCAGCTGTTGTGAAAACATACTGTGTATATATACCCCTCTACATCTGGTTGTATTCACTTTTAGCTTTATAACGATGTAAGAATCTACATCGAAACGTCTCTTTATGCAATAAATAAGAAGTTGTCATCCATACAGTTGTATGTTTCATTTCAGTGTTGCTCATGTGGAAGCTTTAGCCGGTTTAACATTCAAGTCTAGGTGATCTCTTGCGTGGTCTGCCTGAACCTGGCAACGTGTCTCATGGACAACCCGGCATTAACCCTACCTATAATTTGCCATCCCTTGGCTGACGTTAGTTGAGGGGGTCGCATGGAGTGATTTAAGACAATAGGTATGCGTTTTAGCTCAGTTATCTGAAAAGAGTGATTGATAATCAATAATCGTGCATTTTCATGACGCGAGGGGTGCAAGTATTTCATACGCTCTACACTGGTAACCCTCAGCACGTGCATCATGATAGGTTATTGTTATTTTTACAATGGTGTTATATGAACAATGTTTTAGATACTGAGAGAAAAAATATTAGGTGCTGCAATACCCTTTTCCACGTATGTACTGACTCCTTTCCTTGTGTAGAATGTTCTATTTACATATATTCACTGTGTGCACTGACTCATCATTTTCCCGATGAAGGAGCACGAATTATCTCTGAAACGTCGAATAAGAATGAGAAGTTGTTATTCATAAAAGGTGTCATGCATTATATTTTGTTCTGGGTTTGTTGTGAACGCCACAGTCAGCAACAGTCCAGCTTTATGGCGGTAGTGTGTAAATAATGGAGTCAGACAATCCAGTGATCAAAAGCATGAGCATCGATCTACACAATTGTGATACATGTGTCAATTACGTCAGCCAGCCTGACCAACCAACAAGCATGGGTTGCTGAAGAGCATTTCTTCACGGGTGTTAATATGAACAACTAATATTTCCATCACGTTTGCAGTTTGATTACGAACCATTTCTTATTATTTATTCTTTGCATTTTATCTCGAAAGACGTAACATCTACTTTGATATTTTCTACATGTACGCACCATACTTTGGAAACCATCCCTGATGCAAAGGTAAACAGCCCAAGGTTAGAGTGACTGAGATGTTGTAAAACGGAAGGCCCTTTGAATATGTTTCAGTCTAGGATTTGCAATAAGCTTCAAGTGTTTTGATCTTGTGTTTGAGGAGGAACACGGTCACCGTGCACACTAGAACATGTGAATTGAGGCAGTGGTAGGTCAATTTGGCCTTCAGGAACCCATGCTTATCGTAACAGGATCGGGTGGTTAGGATCACTGACTGGTTGACACATATCATCGTTTGCCATTTGCGTAGATCGAAGGGAATATTTGTGATTGCGGCATTAAACAACACACCAATAATAATAATTTTGGCAGTTTTAAATGGAAAAACTTACCATGGGAAATTCTGCCTTCAATGATGAAAATAACAAAGATTGTCCGAATAACCTGCCTCATCATGGTGCATGACTCCCTGTCATGTATCCTCCACAGAGAGTGTTCAATAAGTCCCTGGGTATGAGCGTGATGTGAGCCAATGTCGTCTATACTTGAAAGGAAGTCTATTACCTCTGTAAATATTTCACTTTTTTTATTTGTTGAACAAGTGCATTAATAAATCGATACTCGGATAATTTTACCAGATAAGTGTAGAGTCACAATGACAAAACGAATGTAGTTTCTAAGAACAATGAAAATGGTTTGGATGTTTTTATTTCCACACGATTCGTATCAGCAGTGCAGAAAGTATAAATAGTTCACAAACAAAACGGTGTACATATGCTGCTGCCTAGAATTTCATTTCAAATGGACTTCTTGCGAACGAATTGGGCTATGCATGTGACATATTGGTCTAACTTTGCCTTCTTGTATTCGGGGAAATACATTCAAGAAAATCACCTCTTTTTACTCTTGTATATGCATTCGACAAAGACCAAATAAACGGCTAAGTGTGCATGTGTTGAGACCTTAACCTGACGTAATGAAGCAATTAAATGCTCCTTGGTGTTAATCCCCAGCCCGTAAAACAATCAATAGTTAATCACCGTTTTGCACTGGAGTAATACAGTATATTCAACACACGCCCATAGAAAGCTGGCATGTCCCTTCTAATTGACATGTCATCAATCAATTTCGAATGATGTAACATATTCCATTGGACAAAAAAGGTTAAAAAGCAGATGAACATATGAGTGATCGAGTGATTATGGTTTTACGCCTGTTTAAGAAATATTCAGCCATAGTCAAGGTAGGGGGAACACAAGAATTTAGCTTCACAAATTGCACCCATGTGAGGTATCGAACGCAGATCTTCGGTGTGACGAACCACCAGATTGCCCCAACGCCCCAAATTATGTGATTGTATTCATCAAACTATTAGATGACTGAAGATGACGCTTGACACAAGATGTTAAGCAATGCCCACTCTAACAGTAGTACAACTTATGTCTTTCACAATATTATCAAATTATGACTGCGCAATAATGAATTATATACCTATTGATCCAACACATCTGGCAACGAAGACAAAGCAAACAGAGCTCAAGATTGGTGGAGGATAGACTCAGCAAAGTAAACCACAGGATGGTGGATGTGTATGTATTAGCCACAAGCACACACAATGTTGCGTAACAGCCTTATCAATAATGCACTAAACTCCTAATGTGTAGCAATAGCTCAAGTTACATCATGGTCGATCTCTTTCCGGTGTCTGACCTCTGTTACAAGGCGGTCACAAAATTAGGTTCTGTCCAGCTCACATGTCATGTTCAAAGTGCCACGTCGATAAAACTTCGTGGTTTCCGAGAAAGTAAGCAACTTGATATCTGGTTGATGAACCACTTATTTGTCTTGTCTGAGACATATAATAGCAGCATTCACCACTCATTGATCGTACTCCCAAACGCTTTCATTTTTAAACGAAATATCCATTAAACATATAACTTTTAATTAAGTTTTGTTTGGGTTTTATGAACACATCTAACCGTTCTTCTACTTTCAAAGTTCAGTAACGTTACTGTGCTGTTTTGGTTCTTAAGTAAGATCATTATGTTACTTAGTGTATTTGTTTTGCAATTCACCACTCAGTCACTTGCACTGCCAACACTCCTTCATTATGAACAAAACAACTGCTTAAAAATGATATCATCAAGCTGCATTTGGGTTTTAGGAACATGTCACACACTTTCAAAGGGTCCGTCCAACGACATAAACACCGTTGCTGTTGTCTTCCTCTGATACAGAAGAAAGATCATCTTGTTGCTGAGTGAGCGAGTTTTTCAAGACACAGCACGATGATACTGAGTGCAGTCCCAGCACACACGATGATGAAGCCGCCTCCGACCTGGTTTAGTGTGATTGACTTCAATATTCGCTCTTCCGGACAATGTGTCAGGTTTCTCTTGACGCTCCACTTTTCCCAGAATCGATCCAGAAGGCCGATCGAACTCATCTGAGACATTCTTCCAGAAGAGAAAACAAGCATCGTCTCATTATGAATTTGCATTTCAATTTACATATAGTACTTATTCAATTTTGTGCATAATATATTTAAATCATATTCTCAGAAATACAACCAAACAAAGTATAACATAAATATGTATTATCAGACACAGCTGAGAAACAAGGGTGGGGTGGGGGTGGAGTCATGGATCTAATAGAAGTTTTACGTATCGTTCGTTGAGAATCAATATCCACATCTATGTGGACAGGTATGTGTATCACTTTTAAATGCCATTCCAAGACGTAAATTTGCATAAAGTTCGTAAACGTTAAAGGAGGTTATGGAAGGTTGTATCATAACTTACATCTTCTCCATGTCGGCCTTTAGAGGGGACCCTTTAGGCAATCCAAATGCCTGCTGTACGAATAAAACTCTCTCACGCAGAATCTCTAATTTGCAGTCATCAGCCATGTACTCCTCTAGTTCTGATGTGTAATGCAAATAGGCATATTTCTCACGTTCCACTTTTTGCAGATGCCTTTCCTCGGAGGATTCCAAGAAAACTGGGTCGTTGGCCTCTATCTTTGACCATAGCCTTCCATACAAACTTGATGGGTCATTTGTCTGATGGTTAAAAACGAAAAAGGACAGATTAAGGTGGAGAACATCAACCAGTGGACACTACTAGTATGTCCTTTCTGTTTGATCCAGATTAAAACACCAAGTGCCGCCATGTATAGACTCAGGGCCTTTTTGGTCATTGTGTTTAATAAAATAACGACATATATTTAAAAATGAATAAATGTTCCCCGGATTTGCTTCATCTTACGAAACCATAACTGTGCTCCAAAAAAACATAATGCAGTGCATGGCCCCTAGCTGGATTTACACAGTCCCCTCAGCCTAAAATTCTATGATTAAAGTTCCTGGTAGCCTTAAATTTACTTTGAAGTACATGGTCTTACATTCACTTCCATGAGGACAATGATTTCACGGAACTTCAACCCCTACGAGGATACAGCCGCTAACAATCCGTTTTGAATTTACTCTATCAACTTTAAAATAACATACATCTATATACAAATGGCATCAACAGTTTCCAAACAATTCTATCTCTGTTTGAAAATCAATAATTAAATGAAAATGAAAAAAACATCCTCAACTGTTTTACACTGAAATACGTATCCCGTGTGATAGAACAATTAACAAGCAGGCGATATGGCTGAAATATTGCCGATGTGACGTTAAATATTAACTCACTCACTCACTCATTAACAAGCAGGAGACATAAAATGCGGGAAAAATGGCCTCTCGGGACTAGTCCCTTTTCATGAAGATCTCTTAAAATTTCAGGTCGAACCATACGCTTTTTCTAAATCGAAAACTATTGGTGATAGCATTCTTAATGAACTGTTCCAATCTAACTAAATGGTTCTCTTGTTGTTATTTACCTTTCTTGAAATTTAAGTGTATAATGTTATAAGGACGACTGTTTAGCTGAAGTTTTTCCTATTATATTTACTATTCCAGATTTACAGATTTATCCCGATCTACACTAAGTTTTGACCCTTTACCCTTTGCACCTATTCCAAACCTTGGACATTGGGGTTCGAGAATTTATTTTTGACCTATTGTCTCACCAAGATTGTCGCTTCTTTTGTTTGAACATGCGACTAGCTTTGGCATTTAGCATTTTAATTTATTTAAATTCTCGACAGTTCCTCGCTTTCCTAGCTGTTTTACAATTATTGCTACACCTTGACTTTCATACATGTGGATTTGTAGAGGACCTATGTATTCATTTAAAACGTCAAAATATACCTGAATAGGATCGGCTACATCATTGAAAAATTCGGCTTGTAGTTTAAAAGTGTATCTTGTTTGAAATAAGGGTCAGTTGGCCTTAGTAAAATTCCGTCTTGTTCAAGGTGGAGTATCGGTGAAAGGACAGCTGGGAAGTGGTTACTTCCACCAAGGTCATTGTGGACTGCCCGTTCAAATTAATTGATTAGGTCATCGTCTGATCCACCGTCTGCTGGGCATAAACTTCAACTTAGAAGCTACATATTTAGAAGTCGAGTGAAATGTCATTTCGCCAAGACGTTTTACAAAACAATTAATATTTGAAAAAAGAACTGGTGCAACACTAAAACACACAGGGCGTGACGTAACAAGCAGATTGATAGAACCGGGGCCATTCCACCACCCTTAATTGGTGTCTAGGTACAATAAGGATCGAGGTCCTGTAATGGGCCAAGGCATGCTATTCCTGGAACCAGTGCCCCTCAAACACCAGGATTCCTTCCTCCCCCGACACGGGCGCAACCCACGGCAAACTGGTTGCCCAAATTGGTCGCCTTTTACGACCAGCAATTGGGCCCTGTGGACATATGTTGATCATGTAGTTTGCGTACAGAGGCATATTAATATTAAAGATTCCTATCATAAATAGTCGATTACTGATACTTTCATAGGCGGAATTTTGTTTAAATGTGAAAACTGTTATTTTAGAGACGTTAATTTGGAATGTGTTTCTTCTCACAACTATTTCGGTGTCCTATGGTTAAGTACTTCAGACTGGTCGAACCGTATATGTCCTTCCGCACTTAAGACCAAGCACTTTTTTGTTATTTAAAGTGCTCACAAGATAAAATAAATTTGTATTTGATGTTAAAATAGCATCACTGTTGTTTTATGAAGCTGAAATTTAAAAGATAATTCTGTAAGGTCGTCAACGCGCTTTTGTTATAAAAGGCAAGTGGAGAATACATATTATGTTCCAGCATACAAGCATTATTCGATTCTAATGTTTTTTCAAGACATTTCAGGCTAAAATAGCACCAATATTGTTACTGAAATTCGGCAGTTAAATATGCAGAAAGAAAATTCTTAATAATTTATACGAAACTATATATATATATGTCTGACTTTGTATAATGATGAACATCTATTCATGAAGGGTAATGGCATTGAAGGATTGCTAACAGTTCTATATTTTGTATTCTAAAAATCAGTATTGAAAAATGTTCCACTGTACAGTATCTGCTATCTGTGTAACTCTTATAAATGATTCTATTTTGGAATGGACAGATATCATGATGTCCCACGAGACCAAAGATTATGTAGCCCCTGCAACGCAGTTCTTATAAAAGACCGAATATCATTTTCGGTTGGTATATAAAACATATAATAATCTTAGACATAAATACATTTTGGGGGAAATACTACACCCTTCCTACATTAAATAAGTTTATCGCCTTTGTGTCATCATGTCATGTTGGAACCGCAAAAATACCTTTCACTGCTCCCTTTATATGCTATGAATGGTAGAAGCTAAATATACAATGGGACGATGGCATAAAGGGAAATATGTCAAAATAGGATGTTGATAGTTCGAGGATGAACAAGTACATTACCGTGATGCGAAGGAACACATCTGATTTCATTAAATGTAGTCTCGTGTGATATTTGCCAGGGTTGTCATGTGCAGTACACTTTGTTACTGACTGGTCTCCACAATGGGCATCTTTTCGATATTAGAACGTACTTAAATTACATATTAAGAATGCAACATTCATAAAATCACATACCTTGTGTTCCGATAAGGCGAACCTGTCCTTCAATCCCTAACCTGGTATGGGCTTTTTGTGAGTGAGATACGATTATAAATCAGATCGGCAAAATTTCAGCCATAATGTGCCTAAAACTAGTTCTAAATTCATGATAGAATTACGATACATATCATGTATAAAACCCTGTCAACAAAGGACACTAACATTACTAGATTATCATAGATTTGTTAAAACTAGATCAAAGAAAATTAAAATCTTGTACTAACAATTAACGATACGAGATAAAAAGTGTGAAGAGATCGCTAGCAACGAAAGTTAGTCACCATACTAGGAACCGTGGGGACTTGCAATAATTATGTTTCACGTCAGCTGCTAGCGATTGTAGGCAATTGTAGTCATTTTTTCTAAAAACTACAAATATTTTACGATTTAAAAACGATTCTAAATATCAATATTTTGTGATTAAAGTTGGCTTACATATCCTCTCAAGGGGACAATAATTTTACAGTACTTCAACCCAAGTCAAGGGTGAGGGTTTTAGTCAGAATAGCGGTTAGACACATCAGTGCAAATAAAAAAAAAAAACTCGGTATTTAGAAGATTCAACACACCTTCAGTCAATGAGGTCCGATACCATGTTTTTGCATACCCACAGAATAATCACTGTCCAGTAGCCCCTCTAAGTCAGAGAACGATTTAACATCAGTCTGTGCAGACAGAGCAGCGACCAGGTTGGCACAGTAGACTGTGGTTATCACCATCATCAACATCCACAACGACGTCATCAAAACCTTCCCTGGTAGGTTTCTAGGATATTTACTAAAGCCTGCAAATTACATTAGGTATATTACTGAAAATTGATTACTCTCATTGTTCATTTTGTCAAAACATTTGAGTTTCTACTTTGTACAGGACTACACAGGACAAACCTAAAGGAAAACTTCATTTCATGATCAAAGGGGCATTTGTCACAAGTCAGTGAAGACATACTTACAGCAATAGCTATCTTGTGAAAGATCAGTTTTACTCAAATGTTTACTGAAAAATCAATATGGGAAAGGGTCACTGCAAACATGTATGTAAATATTTTGGTTAAGACATTTAGCCATGAAATTGCCATTCCAAAAGGCACATATTGTGCTCCTCGTCTTGCTGATCTGTTTCTAAATGCATGCAAATCAGAATGTCTGATCGGAATGGAAAGGTTAAAAATAGGCAATTTTCTAGGTAGTTTACTTTAGCTTCAGGTATTTGAATGAACTAATATTTAATAATGGTCAAAATGTCAGTTCCCTTTCACCAAATTACCGTGAGTTTTATTTCAAAAATATAAAATCACTACTTTGTCATTCAAAAGCAGAAAAAGAAACAGCATCAAATTTAAAGGCAGGCAATTTGTTAGTCACATTTCACAGTTACAATTTATGATAGTTACATTTCACAGTTACAGTTTATGATACAGATCAACTTCCCTCAGGTAGTTATCTATCAGATGAGCGCTCACGCGGGAGAACAGATCTTTTAGGTTTGTTGCATCATAATGTGAGTCCCTTGCAGACGTTAAGTCCACGCATTCAAGCAGAATATGCTTGATGGTGAAAACCTCATCGCAAGAGACACACATGGGGGTCCATCCCCATCCGTTTTCAGCAGATAGTCATGAGTAAATCGACTGTGGCCAATACGACTTCGTCGTAAAATTCCATCATCACGTCTTGACTGACAACCCAAGTAGGTATAACCAATTTTTGGTTTCAATTCATACAGTTTATTTCTTCCTACTTGAGTGTCCAATCGTTTTTGCATGAGGTCCCGAGTATAGCTTTTGATAGTGGGTTTGAAATCACTGTACGGGATCAGCAGTGGAGATAAGGGCTTGTCAAGAGCTGCTTTTGCTGCAGCATCGGCTTTTGTGTTACCTGCTATGCCGACGTGACCCGGCC